AACAGTTGACGACCTGGACGCCGCGTGGCGTGTCTCTTGTGAGTGACTATATCATAGCAAGGAAGAAGAGACGTCGCATTACGGAGATTGGGGCGGTCCAACTTCTTCTCAACCAGATTGGCCTACCAGAACCGCGTGAACAGGCTGCCGACAATGTCTCTCTCGTGGATTCGATCCCGGATGAGCTGATTCGACCGAACGATGATGACCTCCTCAATGATACGCCTGAAAGCTCGCAAATACCAGTCGACGACGATGAAGACATCGAGGGCGATGGCCAAGAGGTGGACGGCACGGATACACCTGCGCCAGTCGAGCCGGCTGAAGAAGATTTTGGCTTCTCGGACCAGGAGAAGACACTGCTGGAGCGGTGCGTCAAACTTTGGACCAGGTATCCGGACCCCCTGCTTCGCATCCTGAGCCCGACGAACACGGACCCGCCAGCGAATGGCGTCACGAGCGAGTCGGCCGCGCCACGAACTCTCGTGACGACGATCATCAAGGTGCCGAAGAATCCCAAGGTCCTTAAAGGAGGTTATCTTCTGGTGCCCAACAGCAACTCGACGCGCTGGGTCAAGCGTTTTGTCGAGCTTCGAAGGCCGTACCTGCACATTCATTCGGCCACGGACGGCGACGAAGTGGGCATCGTCAGTCTCCGGAACTCCCGGATCGACAGCCAACCAGGGGTGGTGGGCTTGTTGCAAGGCAGCCCCAACGACCAAGATGACGCCAACGGTAGCGGCGAGGACTTCCGGCCGAGCCATAGGCGCACATCATCCGGACGGATCATCTCGACCATCTGGACGGGTAGCGGCGGCGCAGGACCCAGCGGAGGGATGCAGAGACTCAGCGAAAGGCTGCAGGCGGGCGTGTTCGCCATCTATGCGACGGACAACACGTGGCTCTTTGCGGCTCGCAGTGAACGTGACAAGATGGACTGGATCTTCCGAATCGACCAGAGCTACGTGTCGAGCAACGGGAGCGCCAACGACAGCGGGACGACGAGTCCAGCCGGGGGCAGCTACAACGACGGTGCCGGAGACTACTGAGCGAGGAGCACCGGCACCAGCGCCTGCCTCGCCCCTTGATTTTTATGAGGATGAACGGTTACGAAGTGACGGAACGAAAGTGATTTGCATTGCGCTGCATGGAAGGACGGGTGGGTTCACATCCAGGCCACCAACCCTCTTCCCTCTCTCACCCCTCGACGTATATATATACTACCAGGCCATTCTTGCCAAACCTCCCTTTGCTTTGTTTTTGTACGACCATGACTGTTCCTTCACCATATACCCCTCGAGTTTGGATGGCAAAGTTGATGTTGACTGGCGCGGTGCTGAGGGCGAGGAAGGGGGTTACGGGGGCTCCTCTCGCGCTACGCAGGAGGGTTAGGGTGATGAAGAAGCTGAATGAAGCTTGTTTTTGATGGGTCTTGTGGCGTGTGTTGCCGTGTGAGGTGTTGGTCCCCTTTCGACGTGTCGCGCTGCATCAACTGTGCCTTTCTCATCAAACGCCGTCTGCGCGGGCAAGGGCATGGGTTGCGAGACACAAAGACCAAGATGGGCGAGAAGATTGTCGTCGGCATGTAAAAAAGTTCAATATCGTCTCAAAATCACAGCCGTAGCTGCATGTAGCCTATCCATCCAAGCCCCTATCCGAATCAATGCCAGCTTCGCCCTGCCACTAGCTTACCAATGCGCTCCCAACGGCCGAGTTCGAAAATACAAGAGAGAGAGAGAGAGAGAGAGAGAGTGAGAGATGGAGAGGAGGATCATAGCTTGGCAGCCTCCTTGACGGTGCCAATCTTGAGCTTGCCGCCGTACTTTTCGAGGACGTGCTCGTTGTGGTACTTCCAGAAGGCCTTGGTGGCGTTCTTCCCGGCGAAACGCTTGAGGATCTTCGCGCCGCCCGGGTGTTCCTCCTGGAAGGCTGGGGCCGAGTTAGCCTGGCTCTCTGATGGCCTGGCGGGACGTCATTCGGTCGGCAGGAGGGCATCAGGGGAGGACCGCGAGGTCAGCAGAAGGGGAGGGGGACCGTACCGGTGATGTCGTAGACGCCGTCCTCGACGATGAGCCACATGTCCTTCTCGGTCTTGTGGTTGGCGACCTCGGCGGTGGTGAATGACTTGGACATGGTGACGGTGGGGTGCGGGCGGGACGGGATGAGACTGAGGTGTTCTAGAGGGTGAGGTCGTTTTTGATGGAGGACCGATGGATGTGTGTGTGTGTGTGTGTGTGTTGGTTGCGGCGAAGAATGGAGTGAGGCGACAGAGAATGTCGTTGGGTTGGTCCGCGGCTATGCCTGTGTTGATGAGGTCGATCAGCATTCGAACACGGCGTGCGTCCAGTTACCTCGGCTCATCTCTGGGCGGAGGACAGTTGGGTGGGGCCCCCCTGTGGAAGCGTCATCTGGGGGGAAGGTCGGCGGCCTGGGGGTGCCAATCACATGGTCGCCATTAATCATGCGGGCAAGCCAGGGCATCTGGCCAGGCAAGCCAGGGCATCTGGCCAGGGCGGAAGGTCACATTTGTCGATCAGGGTGCTGGGTTCAATGAATCGCATTATAGTGTTGGGGTGGAATTGAGTTTGGATATCTAGAACGCCGTGTATCCCATCCATTCAGCGCCTCGCTAACCCTTTCTACGCCATCCTGCTCAAGCCGTCCTTCACATGTAGATGGTCTGGAACTGCGTGCCGCGCTCGAGTGCCCGTCGGAAAGCATCCGCAAACGCCGACGTGCCCTGACAGTCGCTGGTTTGGAACTTCTCCAGAGCCTGGGGCAGCCAGCTCTGAATCTTCTCAATACGATGTTGGTTCTACGACACGAGAGAAAAAAAGGGGGACCAGGACGTTAGCAGTCATCACACAAAAAAAAACACAATTCAACACCATCGAGCACCCACGGGGAGGGGGGGGGGTCAACTCACCGACGGGTGCGTGCTCATGAGCTCCGGCACCTCCTCGCCCTGACTTCGCGCGGCGGCTTCCATGCGCTGCCAAAAGCCGACGGCCTCGCGCGGGTCGTAGCACGCCTCCGCCATGAGCATGAGCCCGATGTAGTCGGCCTCGCTCTCCTGCATGCGGCTCATGGGCATGGAGAACATCATGTCGAGCAGCCCGCCGCCGAGCGAGTGGATGAGGATGATGCCGCCGGGGATGGCGTACGACAGCGCGTAGAAGCTGTAGAGCAGAATGTTGATGCCGATCGACCCGCTCATGCGCTCGCCGACGTGCGACGCCATGTTGTGCGCAATCTCGTGGCCCAGCACCGCCGCCAGCCCGGCCTCGGTGCGCGTCGCCCGCAGGATCCCGCTGTGCACAAACACCTTGCCGCCCGGCAGCACGAAGGCGTTCATCGTGTTGGGGTCGTCGATGACCCGGATCTCCCAGTCCACCTTGCTGCTGCTGCTGCTGCTGCTGCTGCTGCTGCTGCCGCTGCTGCCGCCGCTCTTGTCCCCATCGCCCTCCTGGCCGCCGCCCCACCACGTGTCGTGCTGCGGCCCGGCGCCGTCGTGCTCGTCCCGCGGCAGCACCCCGCCGCCGGACACGGGGATGAGCCTCGCCATGACGCGCTTGACGAGCCTCGTCCTGGGATCCCACTCGGGCAGGAAGCGGCCGCCCTGGCGCTCGACCTCGAGCTCAATCTGCCGGACCTGCTGCGCGCTCAGCTCGGCGACCGTCTCGTCGGCGAAGCAGTTGAAGCGCCGTCGGCCCGACACGGGCACCGTCTGCAGGTTCGAAAAGTAGAAGCCCGCCGCCGCGAGCACGGCGACGACGACGACCGTGTGCGTGCGCGGGCTGCGGACGGTGCGCCGCACATTGTCGGCCGTGAAGATGGGACGGGCGCTGCGCAGGCGGTCGTGTGCGTCGTTGTGAAGCCAGGGCCGGCGGGGCCCGTGGGAGAAGAGCCTCCGTGCGGCCGCCGCGGTCGCTTGGGTCGGGGGGTATCGCGGTCGGGGGAGGCATCGAGGCACGGGGCCGGGGGTTCGAAGGATGGGCGCAAGGGGCCGCCGGAATGCGCGGTAGGCGCTCATGGTTGGCGGTCTCGAGGACCTCAGGTGAAGGGCCTATTCAAGGCAGCCCAAATCAAAGAGCCAAGCGGCTTGAGAGAGAAAGGCACAGCAGAGTCGTGAGCCCGAGCTGATGTCCCTCGACAATCGTCGACAGCTGTGAGTAAAGACAGACTGGCGCAGATGCTGTGATGGCCTCCAGGCAGATAGATGCTGTGATGGCCTCCAGGCAGTCAGCCAGCCAGCCGTGGACCGTGGGCAGGAGAAAACGTCAGGATGACATAATCACACCATGGCAGCGGCGGTCTGACGACACCAGCCACACACAGCAGCCACCCTGCTGCGACGCATTCTTCACACACCATCCGAGAGCGAGAGCGCGCTGTTGGCACAGCGAGTCGCAGTTCATCCCGAGCGGTTGGTTCGCCCGGGCGGCCCCCAAGCCCTGGCGTCAAGCACCCCAGAGGTCGATTGTTTTTTTTTCTTGATCGATTGGGCAGGCCCTTTTCCCTTCCCTGTCTGCCGTTGGTCACTTGCCGTGCCGTACCGTACCGTCAGGTCGGGATGTGCCGCATCAGCCAGGAAAAAGAACCAAGTGTCTGTCCCGCGAGAAATCAATTGCTTCCTTCACCTTACCGTGCACATGCGCCCCCCTTTTTTATTTTTTTCTTCACTTGACGTTTTTCTTGACTTTCCATTTGCCAGGTCAAATTCAACAACACGTGGTATGCCCCAATACGCAAAAGACATCTATCGACTGCTTTTAACTACAGTCCGCCAAAGCACAAGTCCGACCGTCCAATCGTGCCCCGTCTTTCGTTCATAAAAACATGATGAATCATTCATGCCAGACCGTCGCAATGCACCCTGGCTACCCAGTGCCATGAAATCTCGCAACGCCTTCCTTTACCAAAAGGACCCGTAAAGCAATGTGGCCGATCCTTCCTTCCCCTCCCCGAGACTTGTCATGCATCCCTGCTCAACAGTCCGCTCAGCAGGTCATTTCGTGGTCGCCGGTATACCCTGCCACCTCGTGCGGAAATGGCTTCCGGCCGTAGACAACGTAGATCCTTTGGTAGGCATGAATGTAGGGGTTGCTGAAATCTTTTCGCACATCGACCAAGGAGACCTGGCAGTACCGTCAGCCGACGAATCACACGTGGGGACATTGGTGCACCTGGGCAGCATGAGTCCTTACCTCAACCTCCTCCGGCGTTCGCCCGAGCACTTGCGTGAAGAGCGACATGCTCCATCCGCTAAGCCCGCTCATCCAATTCTGTTCCCAGAGCTTGCCGAGCGCCTTGTAGCGGGGGTCTTTGGCCCAGCCGTTGAGGGGGATCTTGTAGCACTTCTCATGAATGTCGACGAACCCGACTTCGGCAAGCCAGTTCTTTGCCAGGTGAGCCTGGGATAGAGGCCGCTGTATCATCTCGCTGGCCGCGTTCATATCGTCAAACCATCGCTGGAGAGCGCTGTCGGGTAGCAGGGTCCCGTCGTCTGACTGGCTGTCGCAGTTGAAGTCTTGCGTCTCGAACCAGCCGCCTGGCTCCAGATTGTCAAAAGCCTGGCGGACGATCTCTTCCTTGAAGTTCGCAAAGGACCCGATACCGCCGCGCACAAAGACGAAGTCGAGAGGCTCCCTCCAATCCCACCGCTCAGACCTGTGGAACGCAGCACGTTAGCGCAGCAGCATCTGGGGCTCACGCGGTGCCAACTCACGCATCTTGCACGAAAAAGTGCACATTCGATGGCACTGCAGTAGGTTGAATGGGTGACAAATCGATGCCGTAGACGCGGGCCTCGGGAAACCTGTCGCCCATCTCCAGGGCCCAGATGCCGGTGCCGGTACCAACGTCAAGGACGCGGGTTGGTGGCCGTTCGGCCGGGAAAGGAGCGAGGAACCACTTGCCGCCGAATAACTCGGTCATGACAAGACCTTGCAATTCCAGACGCTCACATTCCACATCGTCATTGGGGAAAACGTAGGCTGTGGAAGGTCAGATGAGTGCATCACGCCAGAAGAGGGGGCTGACACCAGAATCACCACGTACATCCAGCTTGGTAAGCATGGTAAGTGCGTCCAAATCGCTGAGGAAAGTTGGCGATGCTGTCGGTGATGGATTCTGATCCTCTGTTCGGCGTCAGCAAGTGCCATATCCTCGACAGGGGTGCCCGGTGCAGAAAGCCGGCCGGAGAATAGGGGCCATAGTGCATACTCGTCATCATAGCCGGGCTGTAGGTTTCAATGTCAGTTTTCCGAGTCGATGGCATGTGCCCAGCAGAATGAGTTGGAGATGAGTGAACGCACATCAGAATCAGGTTCGAGGTGTGAATTGTTGCTCACGGACCTCCTGTCAGGAATGGACTCAAATGTGAATGCGTATGGATCCAAGGGACGCGGTGGCGGCGGCGGCTGATGGGGCGGGTCGATGGCCATGGCGACGGGGTGAGTGAACGAGGCTGGCAGAGGGACTGGTCGATCCAAGTTGGCGACTGCCGGGGGAAGGAGGTTTTTGGGGGCTGTAGAGTGGCCGTGATAGGTGTTGTCCGAGGAAGGGGCACGGGGAGGAAACAAATTAAAACAGAGCAACAAGATGCGTTGGCGGGTTGGCTTTATGGTTTGACCGGGTCAGGTAAAAAGCTGTTCTCGACTCGATTCATCCGGAAACGTAGCGTGGTGGGCTATTCCCCGTGAACAAAGGTAAAGTCAAGCAGAGGCGTTCCTTGAACGGGCACGTCGAGATGGCCTGGTCGGTTCGGTTCAGGCTTCTTAGTCCAGCGACAGGGCGGTACGAGGCGGCCACCTGAACACTTGCGACAAGACGAAGAATGCCGGGAAAGGGAGCTGAAGGGATAAAAAAGGAGTTCAGAAGATGGAGGACCGGCCGGCCGTAAAGAGGAGAAGGAGAGAGAGAGGTGGACGAAGTGGAGAGGAGGGAACATGGAGAACAGAGCGGGAGGGTGGGTGGGTGGCCAAGGGCATTGGATCCAGCGAACTGGGTCGGCCAGGACTCTCGAACCGCGAGGTCGGGAGAGCCACAGGGTCAATGGGATGGATGGGTCGACAGGCAGTGAGGGAGGGGGGGGGCTTTGTTGGGATGGGGGACCCAGATCCATGAGAAGGAGAGCAAGGTGTGCAAGGTGCGCGACCAAAGGTGCGAGGAGGGGTCAATGGTACCCGGTAATCTGGAAAGGTGCCCTCATTCGTGAAGATGACATGCAACCCTGAACGCACAGCTGCTGCGACTGGCGCCACGTCTCTGGCTACCGGCCTCCGGGGGGGGGGAGGTTCGTCTCCCTGTGCCTTCCATCTGGGTCGGTGATTGACTCCCTTCGTGGCCTCTTGTCTCTGTGCCACACTTCGGAAAGAGATGAAGCTCCACGGATGATGGGCAAGCTCGGCGAGGCGGAAGGCCTGTTGCTACCTCTCTACCTTGCAGTGAAAGAGGTGGGGAGAGGCACCCAAGTCAGTTGAGACGGGACGGACGGATTTGCTGGTTATGGAAGGATCCATACTAGAGGCCATGCTAGAGGCCATGCTAGAGGCCATGCTAGAGGCGGAAAGAGGGGTTCGTTCCAGTGGCATTTCCCATCGGATTTCAGATCTTTTTTGGGGGCTTGTGCCACTTTGTCATTTGGCATTTGGCATTTGACAGCCAGACGGGCCCCATCCACCAGAGTACCTCACGGTACCTCGCCCTTTTGGCCATGCACACTCAGGGCTGTCAGCACGGGGAAAACGGAAGGGTATGTATGTCTGCTTCCTGGCGCCGGTAGGTGACCTCGACGGTCATGTTGATCAGAGTCCTCGCAAGTACCCTTCAACATCAGCAGGTCGCATTTAGGAGTGTGAGTGGAAGGCACCAGGGTACATGGAATACTCCGCAGCACTAGGATACGTCTGTGGATGCTTCTAGGCAAGGTGCTGTTCTGCCCTAGGCCTGTTCGCCAGATCGTAGCCTGACCTGGAACTGCCACTGTTCCCGAGGTACGCGCTAGGGTGAAGGGGGTGGGCTTCCTAGTGCGAGTCCCTGAAGGCTACGTTTCGCACGGACTTTTCCTTGTCCCGCCCTTCCACCCCCGGTTCTCCCCTTAAACACCATGAACAGCGCTGAAAATTTGACCTAGACATTGGAGATCATTAAATGAGGATATCGACAAGATCTGCCCACGAGGCAGAATGACGTGGGGATGCCCAGAAAGGGGTGCAGATGGACTATTGTTTGTGGCCGCCAGTGAGACACTGGAGGTCGGCTGGAAAGTCCCGTTGGCTGCCCTGTGGAAAAGCCCCAACCAGGTTCGTCGGGCTTGGTACCGGCAGCTTGGTTGGCTTCGCCTACACAGACCACCCACGCCAGTGTGTGCAGAGCACGCACAGCAAGGCAACGCGGGACAGAGTGTTGCCGTCAGACAGGGAGGTACCCTCGACAGGCACCACCTGCCTCTACCTCACCTCAGGGCCCAGTGTCGACTCCTGCAGGTCGACAAAATGCTGCCGGTTGACTGGCTGTTGGGGGGCTGTATGCTGTGCAACGGACCCTTTTCCTGGACGCCGGTACTGCTTGCCGTGCACCGCTCGCCAGTCCGCAGCTTCCGCGCTGCGCCCGTTCCAAGGTACCGCCCTGCCATGAGATGCCTCGCCGTCAATGAGAAGGCGCGAACCATGTCCCGTAGCTCTCTGCCTCTTCTCCCAACCGCTCGGGCAGTCAAGGCTCCACATAAGGTACCTAACTAGGTAGCTACCTACCTACCTTACTTGGTGCAGTCGGCAGGCGCGCCTCTGCTGTTGCCCGGCATTCGTTGCCTGACTCGCAACTGCTCATTTTCTCGCTCGTCATGAAAGCGAATCGCCCACACAGCAGACACTGGCCCCCTCACCTCATCCACCAAGACCATGACGATCTCCAGTTCCGCATCCGCACACGCGCATCCTGACCGAAATGATGTGCCCTCAGCGCCCGCCGCCGGCCGAAGAAGCAAGCCTCCCGTACACCAGCGTCGAACCCGACACATCGGACGCATTGGGCATGGCAAGACATCGGTGAGCATCGGCCCTGCTACGGCGCCAGTGTGACACCCCATGGCCCCGCTGGATGCGGATGAGACCACCAAAAACACACGAGACGGGAGAACCTCCCAAAGTCCTCGCTACAGCGTCGCATCCCAATTGGGGGGGGGGGCACATCTCCACTGGCATGTTGTCCCGCACAGGCGTGCTGCCCATCTCACCCTTGGACCAGTCTCCCGTGTGTCTTGCCCGCCCTGGCAGGGCTCTTCGAGCTATGGGCCAACAGTAGCAAGCAACGTGGAGGACACGCTGCAGTTCCTGGAATCCCTTGCCAACAAGGTCGCTTCTGTCCACGGATCACCTGCCTTCCGGGGCGACGGCCGTCGATGTCTTGCATCTCCCGGATCCCGGATCTCAATCCTTACCTGGCGCGATATTCCCACACGCGGCTATTGCTTGCCAGCCGCCGTTGCTCGTGACATGGGAATCCGCCGTGGCGATCATCTCATCACGATCAAGCATTGCAACATGTCTCGAACCCACCCCGGCGAAGATCCAATGTCCGTGTTGGATCGTCTATCAGCTGCTCGTCTATCGAACGCCCCCCTTCGCTGCCCCGATCAGATCACTTGGCGGGCCACTCGCTTCAGTCATTTCACGAACGACCCCAAGACGCAAGGCACCAACGACAATGAGTGTTGGCGGCCCCTTTCGTCTACACCGCGAAGATGTTTGTCACTCCGTTCCACGTACCTCGTGTGCGTTCCTCCCAGTATGAATCCTTGCCCGTTTTGATCTTCCAGACCTCCTCGCCCTCTGGTCCATTGCCCAGCTTGACGAACCACTTCGGCTTGTGTTCTTCGCCCCGTTCCTCGAGGTCCTTCCGCCGCGCACGTTGCTCCTCTTCCAGCACCACTTTGGTCTCCTCCGCCGCGTCGAGGTCGCCCAGCTCTGCCTGCCTCTGATCGGGCCGTAGCCGACTGTCCGTCGGCGGCAGTCGACCCTTCTCGATTTCCGTCATCTCATTGAGTTGCGCGGCAAACTGGGTCAGACCATACGTTGTGGCGGCATTGTCCACCAACTTGCCAACCTTCCAAACATCGTCTCCCACAGCCTTGCCGTTTTCTGTTCGACGGAGTCCGGTTATCCAAGTACCAATCAACCCACTTCCCGAGTTGCTGCCGTCCGAGGTATAAGTCTCGACAACTACGTCCTCACCGCGGCCGCCGAACATGCCGCCCTTGCTGCGAAACTCGACTACTGCCTTGGCCCCCGTAGTGTCGTTGTTGACATGCATCGTGCCCACGGGCTCGACATACTTTTCGCCCATAACAACGTTACGTAGGAACATGGCTGCGTGCGTCCACGAATAAAGTTCGTCCGTACCGTCCATCAACCGCAGCGCAATTCGCACGCGACCCTCCGTGATGATTTCTGCGCTCTTGCCCCAAAACTTTTGTGAAGGCGCTGGTGACTGGCTAAAAGACCAGTTGGAGGAATCGGCTTGCATCGCCAACCTGACGGGCCGGTGACTGACCTTCTCCGCAATGAGGCGGAAACCGCCCGGCACCTCTTGCTCGGTGCGTAGAAGCTCGTACGTCTCGCCTAGTAGAGGGTTGAACGGCTTTCGGATAGCACGCTCCTTCGATCGGTTGATGCTGATTTGCGATACTGCAAACGCAGTCACGTACAGCAAGCGGTCCTTGGCCGTTTTCTGCTGCACTGCCGCGTCAAGAAGCTGCGAGTACTCGAGCTGCTCAGCAATCCTCTGAAGCATCGAGGTCGGCTCGTTTGCCGAGACGGGTGCACTAATGTTGCTAAGATCTTTGCCGACGTTCTTCCGTACGATGCCTATGAGACTCGGGGGCTGAACCAGGCCTGGCGGGATCTTCGAGCGCCTCTCGACCGATATGTCTACCGGAAGAGGGGTGAGGCTTTTCGGTTTGGAGGGATAGCAACTCTCCTCATCTAAGCCGCCCGTGTCCTCGTCAGCGATGGTTGAGGCTGCTGACGACGAGTCGTGCAGCTCGGCCTCGTCGGCATCAGACTCCACAGCATCGTCTTCCTCACTCCTGTCGATGCGGACAATCTGAGAGCCAGTCTCGCCCACTTCAGCATCAAAGAACTCATCGGTTGAGGTAGTGTCCATGCTCAACCTTGAGGCTGCAGCTGAGAGAGGCGCCGGCAAACGCCGGCGTTTGCTGTTTGCGATCAATAACGTAAATTCAGCCACAACCGAGTCCAAATCGTTCAGCAATGCACCGCAGTGATCTTGCATGCTCTTCTCCTCCTGCGCAACACCCCTCGATTTCTTCCTCGCATGACTAGATCCGTTTGTTGACTGGCGGGGGTTCGCAGAGCCCGGCGACGGAACCGCCAAGGATGACGATATCATGGGTTGGAAAGATTGTGGGCTGACGATGCTGGACTTGCGCTTCCAGAAGGGCCTCTTCTGGTTTTCAGAGGGGAAATAGCCCTCCCTTTCCTCACTATGCACTGAGCTACCGCCGGGTGATAAATACTGGCTGCCGCTGCTGTGAGCGGGCCGTGGCGTATTAGACATGTCCTTGACAAGGCGGCGCAGCGCATCTCTGGTGCCCACAGTCCGGCTGACCAAGGACTCGACCTGCTCCCACTCCCGATCCTCGAGGGGGTTGTGAGTCGCTGTCCTCGAGAGTCCAGTGGCAATGCGCAGAGGCGTGGTGGTGCCCCTCTCCTTTGATGTTTGTCCCTCTGCCGGTTCAAAACCTCGAGCGATGCGAACTGCTTTTTCAAGGGCGCGTGCCCACTCGCCAAACTCTTTGACATTGGAGGCTTTGAGATGCCAGATCTCAGCGCCCGAATCAATGTTGATCTCCCGGCGCCTCTCGTCTGCAGCTATGGCTGCGAGGCTCAACGGGATGGCGCCCCGCAGTGCCGAGGAGTTGCGGTTGTAAAAGTACGATAGCGTACACGACGAGTAGTCGAGCGAGAAAAAGCGACGTGCGTAGCCCTGTCCTTTCTTTCTCCTCCTCTTGAGCAAGTTCCCAACGTGATAGTTGGCCGCGCCGTCACTTCGGCCCGACACTGACGTAGGTCTACCACCCAGCACATGGCTATGAAGACTGTCCTGGGAGTCTGAGGCCACAGCGTTCATGTGAGGACTGCCGTGCTTGCCCAAGCTTGTCTTGCTGCCACTCTTTGCAGGGTTGCCGAGGGAAAGATTCGGGACATTTTGCGCCGTCGGGGGCGGCGAGCCGATGGGGTATGTGCGGAGGGAGAGGGTGACGGTCTTGGAGGTCTGCTTTGAAAAGGTATTGTCAAACACCAGGCCGTACATGCCGGCCTGGCCCTTCAGAACGTCGTGCGTGCCCGTCGTTTGGGTTTCGGCCTCGCATCGCCCCTGCCACTCGATGGGAATGAACCCCTTGCTGGCGAGCTGGTCTTGGGCGGTGATCGTATCTTTCTTGGCGAAACGGGCTGGTTTTGCGTCGTTGACGCCCGAAGTCACGCCCGAGGGGGTTGCGGGGTCGTCCGACTGGCTTGGGACAATGTTCGTGGCGCCGGTGCCGGGATGTTTGACGATGCCGAAGTTGCTGTGCGGCAGGGGAAGCTCGTCAGCTACAGTTTGAAAGCAGAAAGGGGGGGGGGGAGAAAAGGTACATTGACTTCTTATGCGGTTGAACGGTCCACGCGATGCTCTGGCCGTCCTCAACCTTGAGCCAGCGTACAATGTACGACTATGTCTGCTGTCAGCTTTGGGTCTTGCGCGCGACGGCGACACGGCGGAATGGCTAGTGGGATGGCAAACCTTGCTGTGGACCTCAAGTTGCTCGTGGCCGGCCATTTCAGGTGCGCGTCGAAGGTCTGAGGCGAGATGCAAGATGGTTGCAGAGGCGAGGCTCGAGGCAAAGGTGGAGGACGTGTTGTTTCTATTTGGTATGTCGCCCGGGTTCCAACACTAACAGCTTTCCATGGCGAGGGATCTGCGACAGATTCGTTAGAGGCGGGGTGCAGGGAAACGCGACGAAACAAGGTCAGACGTCGGGCTCAGGAAGTCTAAACTGAGTGAGGCTGGTGCGCAGGAGGTATGGGAAGGGAGGCTTTAATTATGACTTGACGTGGAGGTGAGATGCCGAGAGGTGCTGAGGTGAGCTTGGGCGCGGAGCTGGGCTCCCCAGTACACCTTGAGGTACGTGCCTTGCCTGGTAGGTCTACATCGTAGGTACCTACGTAGGTAGGTGGGTAGGGCATGCGCTAGGAACGGAGACACGTCACTGCTACAGGGGCACTCTATGGCACTTTTGAGGTCTTCATCACCTGCAGCCGCACTGACACCGGCGCGAGGTGGTACCCAGGCCGCCTGCAAGTGCACCTTTCACAGCAGGGCGCCACACAGCCCACGCCTCAGCGAGCCAGCACAAGGTACCTCCGTCGGTCCCTAGGTACCTACCTCGAAGAACCGTCCTGCCGCGGGTCCAGCGGCACCCGATAACGAGGCACAAGGCACGACGCACCTACCGCGCGGCTTCCGCTATTTAGTGCGTGGCCTTCGGGATCATATATGTACACGGTGGGCAGTCGGCGACGTTATCATCAGAATCCGACGATGAACGCAGACCTCTGCCGGTCCTCTCTCTGTCCTGCCCCAAGTCCCCAGGTTGGCGAGTCTTACCCTTACAGACCAATGCTCATTCTACCCGTTCCAGTGGAGTTGTGGCCTTCCTCAACTCGATGCCAAGATGCTGGGCTGGGCTCTTCCAACAACGGGGGCTCGGACGATTCCCACCAGACTCTCATTTCATTTGAGGCCTGGCACACGAGATACTGTGCACGCAAGAACGGCTCGCACCAAGCTCACAGCATCGCCGCGTGACCCTCCCGTGCCGCATCCCGCCGTGTTGCAGCATGCCCGTCTTCAGTCGACCGATCAATGGGCCGCTTAGGAAGGCTAAGGGGGGAGAACACGGTGACGTTGCTGCGCCACGCCAGGACGAACGGGTGGAGGATGCCATGCCCAAGAGAATCGAGGTTCCTATTCACAGCAGCTGGCCGGCTCGACCTGTGTGGCGCTTCGGGTTTTCGTGTCCAGTCGTATCCTCGTCACACTTTGCCCCATTCTCTCCATATCCACCTTGATGCACGTTGGCGCTTCTTGTCGTTTTCGTAGGGGCCTCGTTTCGGGGTACTCGCGAAGTGAATCCGCTGCGGCCCCCACCCCGATGGTCCATCATCGAATGCGAGTCTTCTTTGCAGGGCTAGGCGGGCCTTTAGGGATTCGCTAGTGCTACGTTGGCACAGGCCCTGATCGGGATACAGCGTCGAGGCTTGGCCTGTGGTCCTTGGGTGTTGACCAAGGGACGAGGTAGACAGATGGCTTACCTATTCATTAAAGGCCTGGTATTGGGGAAAGGGGGAGGTTCTTCTTTGCTGCCGTGGTGGGTGTATGCTCTCTCTCTTTCTCTCTCCCGAGAGGCACTGGTACATGTGTGGCTGGCCATTTCCCATCTGAGCCACACCCATATCCAATCTCCTCCTTTTTCGTGCTATTCCTTTCTTTCCTCTCTGTTCTTCTGGACTCGGCCCCTTCATGAGTCGCGGATGGGACGCTGGAGCTCGCACCGTCGATTTTGTTTCTGGCCGCCAAGACTGTTTTCAGGACATGGGGCCAGGTTCGGTGGGATGGGAAGGCCATCCCATTCTTCCCTTGAGGGAAACCCCTTGAGGGCAGCCCTTGAGGGCGTTTGGTTTCCTGCGCCTGAAGTATTCTTGCTGAGAAGGGGGCGGCTGGGCGGTGGTCTTGGTCCTCTTCCTGTTCTGGGCTGCCTCGCGTTGTGGGGAGCATTCGCTTCACTGTCTCTACGAACCATCCCATCAGTGGCAGTGGCAGTGGCAGCGCGGTCAGTCTCAGTCTCGCCCCGCCAATAAAAGCTATGTGTCCGTCACAGCTAGGTCGTTTTAGTAGGTGCGGGTGGAAAGCATGGCCTACCATGTACTAGGCAGGTCGCTAGCATCGCTGCTACCCCAGAGGCAGAGAATACTTCTCATTCTCTTCCTGGGCCCGTCCGAGTTTCGTCTGGAACATGCCAAAAAGGAAAAAAGTTCCATGCAGCAGTTTGGCCAGGACCACCACTTTGTGCTGCTCTGCAGTTCCATCAGAAGATCAACCCCGCGTTCTCTTTTTGTTTTTTTTCCCCCTTCCGCCACCTTATTCACTCACATCGGCATTCGTCCTTGCATATCTTTTCCGCAGCGTGCTGTAGTTTCTTCCTCTGGTATTCTACCTACGGACGACAGCACTCAGCTTACGAACAAAGAAAGAGGACGAGCCAGGGGTCTCGTCTTGTTCACCTCGCGTCATTCGCGGGCGGCCCATTTAATTCCCATTCCCTGTCCCTGGCATCCTTTACAACGGGGCACCCCCCAAGCACTCTGGCCATAACCCACCACTCGCTCCGATTTGGGTGCAGTGGCCGCGTGCGTGCCGACACTCCATCGACTCAGAAGCTCAGCCTGGTTCAGGAGGAGCTCCATAGGTGTGCTCCCTGACCCAGCCCAGGCCTTCCTTTCATCGCCCAACAGCGAACACCACAACAACAACGAGCAAGCAGCAACTACCTCGCAACACCTACGCACCGCGCTCGACTCGACCCTCTCCCCGCCACCACCATCCTGTCTCGCAGGCTCTGGGCGCCCGCCTTTCTTCTTTCCGCCTACCCCTAACGTACTCGTCTCCTCCCCCTCCCCTCCCCCCGCCATTACGAACGGGCCGTCCACCACTGCGCGAAACATGGCCTCCGTCCTGAGCAAGCGCCAACAGGCGCGCAACGAAAAGGCGCTGCAGGAACTTGTGGCCAAGGTGCCCGGTAACAATTCTTGCGCCGATTGCCAGGCCCGTAACCCAGGTGCGCAACCTCTCGGCCCCCTCGACTGATGCCCTGCCCCTTCCCCCCCATTGAGCTACGTGTGGCTGACCAAACTCGACAGCGTGGGCATCATGGAGCGTACGTTTTCCGACCAACAAACAAGGCTTGTCCACCTCACCGCGATTCTGAACTGACACTGGTGACCAGTTGGGCGTCTTCCTCTGCATGCGCTGCGCTTCGATCCATCGAAAGCTTGGCACCCACATTTCCAAGGTCAAGTCCCTGAGTATGGATGGCTGGTCCAACGAACAGGTCGAGGTACGTTACACATCCGCGGCCCGCCGCCCACAGAGGAGAGAGTCGCTCAAGCTCACTGTTGTGACCCCGCAGAACATGAAAAAGGTTGGCAACGTCACCTCCAACCAAATCTACAACCCCGAGAACAAGAAGCCTCCGGTGCCCGTCGACGCCGACGAGGCCGATTCGGCCATGGAGCGCTTCATCCGATCCAAGTACACCACGACTCCCGCGCCCACGAAAAGCCACAGCGCCAGGACCATGGATGAAGGCATCCCTCCTCCGCTACCACCCAAGACGCCTAGCAAGTTCAGCTTCCGATCCGCCTCTTCGATTCTCCCTCTGTCATCCCGGTCTAAAAAGCAGGCCGCTGCGCGAGACTCCAGGCCCCCGCCTAGCCCTTATGACTATCCACGGAGCCCGTCGCCAGACGACCACCTTCAAAACAAGCCCTCCAAGGTTTTCGGCGCCAGCGTTCAGTCCAGCAAGTCGGACGACACGGAGAGCAAGCTGGCGCACTTGCGTGACATGGGTTTCGGAGACACGCAGAAAAACATCACCGTGCTGCGGAGCGTCAACGGAAGCCTGGAGCGCGCCATAGAAACTCTTGTCAGAGCAGCCGACGCCGACAGGAGATCCCCCGGCATCGCGCCAGCCGGCGGCGGCAGAACCCTCCGCACTTCGCGATCCATGACGCCCATGTCCTCGAGCTCGGCCCCCATCCCTCAACCGTCGACGTTCCAAGACAGGCCCTCTCCGCAATCCGCAACATCGAACAACCCCTTTGACATGTGGCCGGCGCAGCCTCAGACGGCGCAATCCACCGGAACACTCCAGAACAAGAACCCTTACATCGGCGCGAACCCCTTCGGAGCCCCACTGCAGCAGCAGGACATCAGTCAGGCCTTTGGCAACATGTCTCTGGCGCCGCCACCAGCCCAGCCTCTCTTTCCCAATCATACCGGGGGTGTATCTCAGCACACCTACGATCACGCCGCGGCAACGCCTCCGATGCCACAGGCACCACAGACCTACGCGCCCATGAATTTTAATAGTAATATGACATACCCGCAGCCCGTCCAGCAGCAACCCACAGGAAGCAACCCCTTCTTCACGACACAATCCCAACTCTCGATGCCACAGCAGAATCTGGCCGTCAACACCATCACAACCTCGTCTGTCGGTTTTGCCAACAACCCTTTCGCACGTTCGCCCACCAGGATTCAGTCGCCACCCCTTGGACAGATTCCGGAGCAGTCGCAGTCGAATTTCTACAATTCCCCACAGCCGCTCTCGCCGTCAGTTGGCAATCCGTTCTTCACGCAAGCGCAGATCCAGCAGCAGAAGCAGCAGCAGCAGCAGCAGCAACCATTTCAGCCACAGCCCCAGCCTCAACAGCAAGTCCAGCCTCAACAACACGTCCAGCAGCAGCAGCAGCAGCCGCCCCAGTTCCAGCAGCAATTTCAGCCCTTCCAGCAACAAGGGCACTACGCTCCGTCGCAGCCCACGTACCAGTATGCCCAGCGAGCGGATAAAGCCTCCATCATGGCTCTCTTCAACCAACCACAGCTCGCTCCACAACAGACAGGCAACCCATACGCACCTCAGACTGGGGCTGCGGCGCCCAGTTTTGAGAACCAAGTCAATGCGGCACCGGCGCAGGCACAGACCGCCCAACCACAGCTCCAGCAGCCGATGCGCAGCGTGTCGATGCCACTGGCCGGCAGCAGCAACAACCCTTTCTTCGCGGGCAGTGTGCCTACGGCGCAGGCGGCCCCGGTGACAGCTCCGGCGCCCGCAGCTCCCGCTGTTCATGCCGGCGCGCAGCAACAAAAGGCACACGTCAGCCGCGAGAGCATGGCGTTTGCAGACATGAACTGGGCCAACGGACGCCACAGTCCCGATGCGTTTGCCAGTCTCAGTTCGAGGCACTTGTGATGAGCAACTTACACTACAATCAGTACATAATGAGTTTCTTTGTATAAATATGACGGTTTGCCGGAGCGTATCATGCAGTCTACGTGTGCTGTGACAGAGTGTATCGCAGTGATGGATGTGTGATTGCAAAAGCCAATGACAATTTGGTATCGCCCGAAAGAAGCGACCGAAAGCTTCAAAGCACCCATGGAGGTCAAGCAAGAGCCGGCTCTGACAAATCGGATAATAGTAGTAATATAGCTCCAGAAAAGTAAAGTGAGAGGGACAGAAACAAGAAAAAGCATCAGACAATGATTGTAGGGCAGGCTTCAGGTCACCTGACTTCGCTCCATGGGTCTGACATCACGCTCCTTCCCTGTCGCGTCTCGCACCACCTCGTGTCGACCGCCCCCCCCCCAGCGCACATCTCGAGTACCCCGCCAACCCGCCAACCCACCAACCCAAACCAACAGGTTCTGGCAAGGTTCCTGGTGATTTGGCAGGACATCGTTCGGCCACCATGCGCCCTAATGGCGCCCAACAAGCCTGCCAGCGTGATCGAGATTCTCTCCGATGATGAGCCCGCCGCTGAGCGCGATGCGACGGTGCAGCCCGGCGCCAGGGCTCTCGGGAAGCGCAAGCTCGTCCCTGACTTTGAGGAAAAGGTCTTATGGGACGCCGACTCGGATGACGGTCTGGATCTGAACGCGAAAAAGAAGCGAAAAGCAGTCGCCAGGCCAAAGGGCAAGGGTGCGGGCAAGGGCAAGAAGGTGTCCAAGGACGAAGAGGCGAAGAAGGAAGAAGGGGAAGAACGTGAGGAAGCGGCAGCGGCAGCAGAAACAGACCAGCGGGATGACTACGAGGTCGCCGGCGCGCCAGACTATCTCCGCGAGCGGAGGCGGGCCTTCGACTCGAGACGCGAAGCGCTGCGGGAGGCCGGACTCCTGCTGCCGCCCGACTACGCCGACGTCGATTTCTCGGACGACGACAACGACGCCGCCGCGGTGGCCGTGCGGCCGCAGTTTGACGAGAGCGCGGGCGTCAGGCCGTGTCGCCCATACCAGGACGTCGAGCTCGAGTACTCGGGCGGCGTCCTGCCGGCGCCGCTGGCGCAGTACCTGCGCGACTACCAGGTTGCCGGCGTCAAGTTCCTGCACAGGCTCTTCGTGTACCAGAACGGAGGCGTGCTGGGCGACGACATGGGCCTCGGCAAGACGGTGCAGGTCGCCGCCTTTCTGACGGCCGCCTTTGGCAAGACGGGCGACGCGCGCGACGGCAAGCGCATGAGGAAGATGAGGCGGGATGCGCGCCGGTGGTATCCCCGCGTGCTCATCATCTGCCCCGGCTCGCTCATTGAGAACTGGAAGAATGAGCTGAATCGCTGGGGCTGGTGGTCCATTGACCTGTTCCACGGCTCGACCGCGCAGAAGGAGGACGTGCTGGGTGCGGCGCGGGCCGGCATGCTGGAGATCATGGTGACCACGTACCAGACGTACAAGAACCACGCCAGCTCCATCAACACGATCCAGTGGGACGCCGTCGTGGCAGATGAGTGTCATGCGCTGAAGAGGGGCTCGGCCGAGATCACGAAGGCCATGAACCAGGTACGTGATATGGGCCCTCGCACACGCGCTTCTTGTCTTGTTTCTCTTTGCTCTTCGTTGTATTCACGATAGTCAGATCAACGCCCTGTGCCGTATAGGTCTCACTGGCACAGCCATACAGAACAACTACACAGAGCTCTGGACGTTGCTCAATTGGACCAACCCAGGACACTTTGGCACGGCAGGCGAATGGGACCGGACGATCGCAGGCCCTCTCCGGCTGGGGCAGTCCCACGACGCCACATTCTATCAACTGCGAAACGCACGCATAGCAGCGAAGAAGCTGGTGACCAACCTCCTCCCAGGGTTCTTCCTCCGACGGATGAAGTCTCTCATTGCGCATCAACTCCCCAAAAAGAGTGACAGGGTTGTCTTCTGCCCGCTGACGGAGGATCAGCGGGCCGCTTATAAAAGATTCGTAGGACAGCCAGAGCTCGAGCTGCTCCGTACGCTTTCGAATCTCTGTGCGTGCGGGTCTGGCAAGAAGCGAGGCTGGTGTTGCGATGCGAGGGTGGCGGACGGCAGGTCATGGCAGTCCGTCATCTTCCCCTCCGTGACGACGCTGCAAAAGCTTGCGAACCACCTCATGCTGCTCGTGCCCCCCAGCACGGAACCCGACGATAAGCAGGCACGGCAGGCTAGGATTCTGCGCGACTGCTGCCCGGAGAAATGGCAGGCACTCCTGAGCAACCGGGACGCCATCATGAACCTTGCCAATCCGGAGTTTTGCGGCAAGTGGAAAGTCCTGAAGAAGCTACTCAAGTTCTGGCACGAGAACGGCGACAAGGTCCTCGTCTTCTCCCACAGTGTTCGGTTGTTGAGAATCTTGCAGCACCTCTTCAGCAACACGAGCTACAACGTGACCTACTTGGACGGGTCTCTCTCCTACGTCGAGAGGCAACAAGCAGTCGACGACTTCAACTCTGACCCCGGCCAGTTCGTCTTCCTCATCTCGGCCAAGGCCGGCGGTGTTGGGCTCAACATCACGGCAGCCAACAAGGTTGTCATTGTCGACCCTCACTGGAACCCGTCCTATGACTTGCAGGCCCAGGACCGCGCCTACCGCATCGGTCAGCGGCGAGATGTCGAGGTCTTTCGCCTCGTGTCCTCGGGCACGATCGAGGAGATTGTGTACGCGCGGCAGATTTACAAGCAACAGCAGGCCAACATTGGCTACACGGCTTCCTCCGAACGCCGCTATTTTCAAGGTGTGCAGGAGGACGAGAACCGCAAGGGCGAGATATTCGGCCTCGCGAACCTCTTCACATTTCGGGAAGACCGACTCGTCATCCGCGACATTGTCAATAAGACCAACATTGCTGAAGCAAGGGCCGGCAACGGTATTGCCGTGTCAGGCATGGACATGGAGCAGGCGGCGAACGATGAAGAGACTACGTGGATGAAGCGAGAGGGTTCAGAGGGTGGCAGTGCCGAGGATGGGGGCATGTCGCAGCTCGCGAGTCTACTGACGGCACGAGACGCCGACGGGGCGGCGGCGCAGCCGCAGCAACGATCGGCCAAGAGCGATGCCATCCAGGCTATCCTTTCCTCTGCCGGCGTCGAGTACACGCACGAGAATTCCGAGGTCATCGGCACGTCCAAGATTGAGGAGCAGCTGTCTCGCGCCGCCGAGATGGCGTCCCAGGCAGACAACCCTGACGGCAACAGCGCCCTCTTCGGCAGCCAGCTGCTCGAGGGCGTGATGGACGCCAGGGCCGACGGCAGGCTGAGGCGCTACCGGTACAACCCGCCCGAGGACGTGATGCGGCGGCAGTTTTGCAGCATGGCGCGCGAGTTCGGCTTCGCCAATGCGACGCAGTTTGCACTCGTCGTGGAGAACTGGACGCAGGAGCAGCGGCGCAACTGCCTCGATGCGTTCTATCGCGTCAGGGAAGACAAGCTCATGGCCGAGGAGTCAACCTCGCGGGAGAGGTCGAATCCCGAGCGCACGTCCACGTCGAGTGAGGCGGTCAAGGTGGAGACGGCAGATCAGGGAGGGAGCCCGAGGCTTGCTGAGGCGCAGCGGGAGCTCGTCACGGCAGAGGCCGCCCGAGAAAGTTCCGAGGTCAAGGCAGAGGGCAGCTGTGAGGTTGGAGCGGCCGAGACGATGGTGAAGATGGAGTCGTCTTCGGCAAAAAGGGCATCAGTGTTCATTTACGATACGGATGATGATGAGACGGACGAGCTCTAATGGCGCTTTGGTGTTTGATGCGTGGCGGTGATAGATCCCCAGTTGAAAGGGAACCAATTTAGCAAGCCGCTTGTGGTATTGGTTTCTATTATTTACTGCATAGTACTGCATGGCGTATTTGTCCTGGCCCGATATCTGTGTGTGTGTGTGAGAGAGAGAGAGATCTGTCGTGAGCTCCGCGAATATACGCTCCAGAACATTATCGAGGACTCTTGATTTTAGTGCTGGCCTTCGTCTTTCTGACTAGAGAGATGTTACTTGGTGAAATGAATGCAACCGTCTTGTTCGAATATTCCACGTGACACCTGCCATTCGTGAACCGCGGTGGGAAGGGGTGAGTTGGTGCTAGATTCTGGTGGTGATACCTGTGACTGCTTGGAGTCTTCGTGATCTTGGGCCCTGAGACTCCAGGCACTGGCAAGTCAGGCATGGGCGCAGTAGTGACGACAGCCCAGCCAACGGCGACCCAGGGAGACACAGCATCTCGATTCCGACGCTCACACGCCCACACGCCCACAGTGAACGCTGGCGGCTCGGCACGAACTCTACGGAGAACCTTCACCGCTCACCGAGGCTGGCCACGCGGACATGGAGGTGGGGCCGGCGTCAGCCACTGGAGGTACGGCAGACGCGTGACGTCAGCGCCACGAACCTGATTTGCGCCCCTTGCAGCCACGACTTCTTGGACGACGACATGGGGGCACGGAGCTCTGGTCTGGTCTTGCTGCAGCCCTGGATGGTTCGAGCCAGCAACAGGAGCGCCCGTGATGCGCTGGCGACGCCAGCCCAGACACTGCTATCCCTGTCAGAAACCGTCGAAGATCCGGAGTTCCAGAGCCGTCGAGCCACAAGCGCGCGACGCTGTGACGCTCCCTTCTCCTGGCATCGCGATCAAGGGGTCCCGTCCGTCTTTTTCCTGATGGGCTCCATTTACAGGGCTGGGCGTCGTCAGTCTCATAAGTTGGTCGAGACCATTACCTCCCCATTGCCGGCCCTGGCGGGGGCGCTTAGGCGAAGTTTCAGATTTGGGCAATCTTCCCATTCAACGTCCTGTCCTGTTGCGCCACGATGGCTGGTCCCCTGGCCGAATGAGGTCATGTTGAGTGCTCTACGGGTTGTTGGCGGCCACTCACAACGCGTCGTCGCTGCTTGGTAGGGTGGTATCCGGTGGCTTGCGTGTGGCAGAGACCAGAGACAAGAAAAAGGTTCGCCAGCAAGCTTGGTTTGCCGTTACCCGGCGTTCGCATCTGAACCACGCCCTCCAGTCCCCCCCCCCCTTCGATGCCGCGTCCCTTGTACACAAGGCCCTGTCAGTGACGTGGGTCCCCGCGGTGCGCAGTGCAGGTTTCGATCATGGGCGGCGACCGTCCTCTGTCTACACTGCTTTTCCCCCCTCCAACCTGCCTAGCGGGCTGCCGGCAGTCGACGCAAGGCGGGTGGGTGGCCAGGAGGTCAGGAGGACTGCTCCGATGAGTCGAGTTGGGCCAAGACAGCCGGCAGACGGCCCCAAGTGCATCGTACCCTGCGTCTGGCCCTGATCCAGGGTCCAGCCCATGTACCCACTACACTGCCGAGATGCCCTGAGGTGTGGCCATGGTCCCTCACGTCGAACGAACCCTTACGCGTGCCGTGGCTGACGCTGGGCCGGCCGACCCCATGGATGATGACGCTGGCCTGGGCATTCGCAGTGCATCAAACCTGGCTTTGTGGGCAGAGGGACTAAGTCATGGGAGCGCATCTGACTCTGGCTTGGGCTGCCCTGAGTTTGGGCGTCCAGGCCTGCTTTGCTTGACCATGTTGATAAATATGCCCTCTGGCTCCCACCCAAAGTCACAAGTTTCCTCCTCTTCAACCAGCCAACAGCAGCCAGCCAACAGTACCCTTTTTGCCGTCAAGCAACTATTCTCACAAGCCCCTCCTCACCTACCTACCCTACCCACACCCACACACAGCCCGTTCTAACACATACACACAATGGCTCTCGACCGTATTCTCAGCATGGTCCTCCGCGCCGCGGAGCTGGCCTTTGCTGCCATCGTCACTGGTCTCGTTGGTCACTACCTCGACCACTCCCAGGCGTCGTCGTGGACCAACGCCCGCCACATCTACACGATTGTCGTGTCGGCCATTTCCATTCTCCTGGCCCTGCTGTGGATCCTCCCCTTCTCCAGCGCCTTTGTGCACTGGCCCGTGGACCTCTTCATGTCCATCCTCTGGTTTGTCGCCTTTGGTCTGCTCGTCGATGTAAGTACCCCCGCTTCCCCCTGTTCCCTGCCGGCGAAGCACCGCCTCGGGCCGAGGGGCATATACACACACACACACACACACACATGCTGACACGCCGCGACACAGCTCATGGGCAACGGCTGCGGTGGCGTCTTCAACTGGAGCAACATCACCGTCCGCGGCGACGACGCCTGCGGTCGCTTCAAGGCCATTGTCGCCTTTGCCTTCCTCTCGGCCATCTGCTGGCTCGTGTCCGCCATCATCGGCTTCTTCTGGACCCGTCGCCGCACCGCGTCCGTCGACCGCCACCACCACACCACCCAGCGCCGCACCTGGTACCGCTCGCGCGTCTAAGCGGCGTGCGCACACGCGCAGGGGGCCCGCTGGCCTGGTGATTCGAGCGCCGTCTTTCTCTTGACGTTGAACTCGCTTTCATCAGGATGCACTCAAATCAATGACAAATCAATGTCCACAGACCATCACTCTCGAGGGGGAGGAGGATAGGTTGCTGGCGAAAAGGGCAAACCATCATGGCTCTGTCATCCGCATATGGGATTTTTTTTCTCCCCCTTTCTTAATGACTCTGGCACGAACGAACTTGGAATATGAGATAGCGTTGCGGCTCGGGGATACCCATTAATGACCTGGCCGATTGTACCATATCAAGAATTAATACCCTTTATACCTTACCGGCTTGCCCTTGATGGAATGTGTTGCTGTGCGCTATCGTGACCAGGTGTCGCACCGGTGCAGAATGTAGTACACGGAACTGTTATTGCAACGCAGCGCGCCGAGCTGGCGACTGGAACAGACAGAGCAGTTACCAGCCACGTCTGCCCACGGAGCCACATCCGCCCGGAGACCCACCACCGAAGCTCGCCGGGTGGAGACGGCCCTCCGCCGGCGCAAGGCCATTCATGCACGGGGCTCAGGTGGATTCGCATTCGAGCAGCCGCTACGGTCGGGAACAGTCATCACACGAGCCACAGCGATAAACACAAAAAGTGAGGCGCACGCTCTCTCCACGACAAACCGATCAGGCCATGTATGCATGCAAATGCACGCGCCTGGGTCAGCTCACAGACGAACCCAAGGGGACGTCCCGCCCGCTTCACGAACCGACCGACCGACCGACCGACCGACCGGCCGAGTGCAGGCAGTACATTGTTGGTGCCCGTACAGGCGTTACCCCCCGCGCCCTCAATTGCCCCAATTCTCCTCGCCGCACGCGATCGGCTCTCAGGCCCGGTCTGGACCGCAAGCGGCCTCTGTTGGCTGGCTGGCTGGGCTGGAAGGGGAGGGGGGAACTGTCCCCGTCAGGCCCTGTCGAGCTGACACGGGTCCAGCTAGCTCGTGGCGGCGAAGCGCAGGCGCAGGCGCAGAGGCAGCAGGGCCGAAAGCCGTGCTCGGATTGGTACGAGGGGCCATCTAGGAGGCCAGAGGTGAAGCCATCGTAGTCGATGCTACGTAATCGGCGCCCAGCCCAGAATCGAACATGGCCATGCTGTCGTACTCGGAGTGGGACTGCGCCTTGTCGTCTACAGACGTAAACGGACAAATTGAGGGGTGGAAAAATTGCAGGAAGAATCGGTGTCGGTGAGAGGAACGCATCTTCGGGTCGTACAGGAAGGAAACTGAAGAGGCAGCAGAAGAGACGAAAAAAAGTGCAGGTGCATAGATGGACCGAATGATTTCGTTTCTTTGGTTTCGCTGCTTTCGTGTGTGCCAAGTTTTTGCTTGCTCGCACTTGCACTTGCACTCGCACTTGCACTTGGACGGCATGTCACTCGATGATCGAACTAGTCTCGACGTCTGTTTCTTCGACCTCATCCTCTCGATTTCGGCCGTAGTCAGCGATGCGGGGAAAGCAAGCCTCAGTGGACAGCACGACATCTTGTGATATGACAGCCGCCCGAGAACAGGGAAATTTCTCGCCATTCGCCAGTCTCAGGCGATGGGAGATGGGACGAAACGTGACGAGGCAAGACATGCACTTGATCAACGGGCGAGGCCGGCCGCCATAGGCATCCTGTACCGCGACATGGTGTAGCCCGTCTCCCAGAAAAGAGGTCGCAATGGCGGCACAAGGTTGGACATGATCAGGGCATGGAACTTCGGCACGCGAACTTGGGCTGTCGTCGATTCCAAGGCAACTAGCGCTCGACGCAGTGCACATCACCATCACGGCGTGGGCGGCATCGGGGCCTGTCAAGGGCTCCAGGGACGCAGTGACTCGGGATACGTGCCTCGTGCTGCGTGTTGCGTCTTTGGGGGCTGGAACACGAGAGAAGGCAGCCAAAGAGGTAGAGGCTGGTGAGGGGTCGGGGACGTGAAACCGAGATCGAGATGGGTGTGGGGGGAAGGGGCTTATTCGCATGCTTCGGAACACAAAAACAGACAAAAACAGATGGCTCGCAACGTGCGGCATGTCGAGCCAGAGGATTGGCGGGGCTAATGGGAGATCAGGAGATCAGGAGGCCCCGGAGGCCCTCCTTCCCTCAGGCGACGACAGATCGTTGCCGCAAGGGACGAAGGAGGAGGATGGGACAATGATGGGCATGATGGGCATGATGGGCATGATGGGCATGATGGGCATGATGGCACCGATGGCGTTGAGGGGATAACCTGTGGTGTGATGAGGATGGGCAGGTTCGGTGGGGTTCGGCGCCAGCTTCTGTCGGGCAGTCACGCGAACAGGGTGGGAAATTGATGTGGTTGCTATGGATTTCCCATGTTTGCGAAGCATGGGAGAGCTTGCTTGGTTCTAGCCTCTTTCTTGCCTTTTGCCTCTTGCCTGGTTCGTACTTGCCCGCCCTCGCCCCTCTTTCCTGCTCCAGTCCCCAGATCGATCTCGATGTCGTAATGAGTGCGTGGCAGTCCATGACGGCATACTGTGGGGTAGGTGACGCCACAGCAGCTGGGTCGCACCAGCCACATGCTAGCAGACCAGCTTTCGTTCCGTCTGGCGAAGGCAAGTGGCATGCGGTCGAGTAGCGGGGTCAGTGGAGCCCGCGGATCTCCCACCGGCGGCTCTTGCGTCATTGAGACCGACCCCACCCTTGACCTCACCTCATCTCTCTCTCGCGCCTTGTGCAGCTCGAGCTCGACCTCTGACTCCAGCCTGGCGTCTACCTTGGAGCCTGGCCTCTCGTACCAAGACGTCTTGGCTCCCCATCTACGAAACGTACCGAAATGACACAGAATATGGATCCCTGAGCCTCGTGTGCGGGGAACAGAATAGGTCCGTCGACGCGCGGCAGGCGTGTGTAGGCCCCCCCCCCCTCTTTGATTCTGGCTCTGGCTCTGGCTCTGGCTCTGGCCCTGCCGTCTCCGATTCTGCCCTCATCTCCAAGAAAGGAAGGCCTCTGCACGAAGGCCCGTGTCCCAAACAAGCTCATCTGTGGCTCCAGACCAAAACCCGCTCGTCGTCGCGCCAGGAGGGTCACCAGCCACATCGCCACTCATCTCATCGCTCCGCTTATGATCTGTCTTCTCTTCAAGCTTTGAACGCTGCTTGTCAAGCTCCCGAAACGGTTCCCACATATGACGACGTTCAAGCGCCCCCTTGCGCAATGAGGAACCCTCGCCAGCCATCATGCTGCCCCTCCCCAGAGAACCGTAAACGGGAATCGGGCGTGATGGTCTCCACCTCTTCCGGGCAGCCCAGCCCAGAACTGATCACAACGCCAAGAGCCTGACAGATTCGACAGGGGTCTAATCTGCTTCGGACCAGAAGCACCGGTGTCGACAGGGTACCAAAGCTTGTAACCTACCTAGGTACCGTACGCTCGTGAGCTCTGCAGCCAGCCTGGACAAGCCTGACAGGAGCCCTCCTCCTTGCCCGACCAAGACCGATGACGCCAGAGGGGTAGTGGGAGTGCCGCATCATGGTGGACCAGGTGAGCGGCATGTGGTGACATGAGACGAGAGTAGACCAGACCAGACCAGACCAGACCAGACCAAAGCTGAACAGCGGACGAGGGACAAACCGGCTGGATCTGTGTGTATCGACCGAGCGGGACAGGCTTGCCAGGCAATGGATCCAGCGACCCCCATGCATGTGCCTTTTGGCCCAAATCAAGGCACGCTGTGACTTTGCTGTCGCGACCCGTCAGCAAGGCCAGCGACCCCGTCCATCACGATTGCCCCCTAGGTACTCATCACATCTCTACCTCTGTCACACAAACACGCTCTCTCTCCAAACCCGCTTCAGCCACCCCACCTCCCGAGCCCTCGTAACTATATAACATCCAGTACCCCTCTCCTCGTCATCGACCATTCCCTCTTCTCCTCATCATAAGATACCAATACCAACCAAGCCTACCAAAGCAACTTCTCTTTTCTACTACTCTCAAGATACCCCAATACCCCGTACCCACAACCATCATCAACTAGAACCCAAACCATCCATCATGTCTGGCCTCATCAACAAGATCAAGGACGCTGTCCACTCTGACAAGCACGACAAGCACGACTCGCACGACTCCACTCACACCGGTTCCGATGCGTACACCACTGGTACCCACGGCACCACCGGCAACCCCGGCATCCACCACAACACTGATGCCACCGGCACCCACGGCACCTCGACCTACGGCAACACCTCGACCAACGCCGGCCCTCATGACAGCAACCTCGCCAACAAGGCCGACCCTCGCGTCGACTCTGACCGCGACCACCGCGGCACCGCTGGCGGTGTGACCGGCTCCACCGGCACCTACGGCAGCTCCACTACCCACGGTACCACCGGTACCCACGGTACCACCGGTACCCACGGCAGCACTGGCCTTGGCTCCTCCGGCTACGGCAACACCTCCACCAACGCCGGCCCTCACGACAGCAACATTGCCAACAAGCTTGACCCCCGTGTCGACTCTGACCGTGACAACCGCGGTACCCACGGCACCTATGGTAGCTCTACCACCCACGGTACCACCGGTACCCATGGCAGCACTGGCCTTGGCTCCTCCGGCTACGGCAACACCTCGACCAATGCCGGCCCTCACGACAGCAACCTCGCCAACAAGGCTGACCCCCGTGTCGACTCTGACCGCGACGGTTCCAAGACGGTCGGCCAGGACAAGACCTACGCCTCGTAAGATTGTCCCTCACTTTGACGCGCCCACCCAGGCCGCGGGCACCACACCGGCTGCCGCGCTGCCTTTTCTTGCTCTGGACTTCGAAAACTGACCTGGTATTCTTTCTTTTTCCGTCTGTAAAGAGACAACAAGACGTCCTACGCACAGCGGGATCCTACCGATGCTGCCCAGGTTCCTCCCTCGGTGCTGCAGCAGACCATTGGCGCTCCCCAGATTGCCCACGACGACCACGGCCACGACCGGGCCCGCAGGAACAGCCAGGCTACGGCGCAGGAGATCCACCGCGGACTGTAAACGGGTGGCCACCAGAAGCGAAACCGCGAGCGATTTAATTTGGCTGGATGATGATTATTAATGTCTACTTGCGATGGGGGCTTTTTTCACATCCACTGACTGACTGCTATGAATGTATTAATAGCTATCAACTGATGAATTTACGAGTTAATCCTGACATGTGTCCCCACGCGCGAAGCATGTGTCGATGGTCAATATGATTGCTTGTCACGTGCTACGGAAGAAACTTCATGTAATCTATATCAACACGGCAATATGGTGATGACATGACTATGTTGTGAACATGTCATCATGACCACGCCATCCATCACACAACACCGCGCCAAACCGTGCGTCCTGCCTCAAGACGGTATGGGAGAGGGCGGGGAAGGTCCTTGTCAGCACCCGCCTAAGAGATGTGGAGCTAGTACACCGCACATGGTAAACATGCCCGCCTACGAGACAGGGACAGGAAGGGTCAAAAGACAGATACATTTCGGTACCTTGACACCAAAATTGGTGACCAGAATTCTGCCGCGACGCTTGGCCATGCACCTTGCCCTGGGAGAGGGTGTTTCAGCTGCGCACGACATTCGTCAGGAGGAAAAAAAAAAAAGAGTTTTTCCTCCTTCCTGTCACTTTTCAGATGCGCTTTGGGGGGGGGAGGCGCGGCTCGGTGGTGACATGGGGGCGCAAACGAGGTTGTGATGCGCCTTTGCGCTGTCACACTCTCTGTTCGTGTCTGCGCACTTGCGGGCGGGAAGAAGGAAAGGGAAGTGGAGACATGACTGCGTTGGGGTATTAGTGATCATGGAGTGTGTCAGCCGGGGTGTGATATGAGAGCGTGTCGGTCCCAGGATTGGCCGTGTCATGTCCGAAGGTTTTGGGTGGAAATGTGACATGGGATTCCAAAAAAAAAAAAGTCCGATGGCTCGTCGTTGTTGCTTTGGCGAAGATCGGTGCGCCACGATGAGCCACACAACAAGCCTCACTCACATGAGGTTCCCGTTCATTGTGTTGTACTGTTTACAAGCATCACGTAGCAAAACGCAGTCGATAGTCGGTTAACAACATGTGTCAAATCACCACACACCTGACCACGGGCGAGGGGAGGGGCATGGCATGACAGCCTGCCCCATCTCATCTCACAACCTCAACTCAGTGACTGGCCAGTCTTAGTATAGCAAACACATTGCATCTTGCGTCCAACAATGAATGGGAAGCATGCTTCTCTGCAAACTCAACCCCCCATCTCACTCCAACGGTTCATGACATGATAGAGGGCCTAGCCCCCAGGACGGACCTTTAGCACGCTTCCGAACGAAACAACCACAGACACACCACGATGGCCTCACTAGCAGAGACATTATGGTCCCAAACCGTACCCCTTCACATCACCCACCCCTCACAGCCCAACAACCCCTTCATCACGAACCTGCCCCGCTTCAGCTATCTCGCCCTCCTGCTGCCCCGCCTCTCCGCCTTCTTCCACGACGCCGACGCCGACACGCCCATCTCGAGCTTCCACCACGAAGACCTCCTGCTCCGGAACCTGCCCCTCGGTCTCCTCGTAGACCTCTACTCGCCGCCGCTCCCCTGGCGCCTCACCGTCGGCGACGGACCGAGCTGGGACATGGCCGACACGTTCCTCAACGGCGTCAAGGAGGTATGTTGCGACTTCACCCCCCCCCCCCTTCTTGCAACCACCCAGAGCCTCACCCACACCGTCTCAACACCGGGCCACCGCCAAACTAACGTGACCACCACCTTTCTCCCCCCTCCCCCAGGCCGATTTCACCCGCTACGGCACCGCCAAGCGGATCATGTCCCTCTCCAAAGCAGACACCTCGACCCTCTGGCACGCCGTCCAGGACAACGACCACGCCGCCTTCGCCCGCATCAGCGCGCACCTCCTCGACGCCCCGACGCCGCTGAGGAACATACCCCTGCGCCTCTACATCCCCTCGACCGCGGGCGCCTTCCGCGTCCTGCAGGCCCCCGTGCCCCCGCGCCACCCCGCGACGCCGCGCCAGCCCCAGCGCCTCGGCCACGTCCTGCGCGCGCTGCTGCCCGCCCTCTTCCCGAGCAGCCGCGACCCCGTCCTCGCCGCCGTCGTCCTGCACGGCGCGCACGTGCCCTTTTCTGCCCCCG